GGAACAAAAAGGAATCAGATCAAAGTAAGACTAAAATCTAGCATTGCAAACACAAAAATCCTGAAGCTCCACATCCAGGACCTGAGGTAGGTTGTGGTAAGATGTGAACTCCAAAGGGATACGGCCTTACCGGTTAGCAGCTCTCCTGGCCTCTCTTTTAGGCTGGCTCTAATTACTGACTGCAGTTTTCCTCTGGAGATGTTCCATGCTCCTGGTTTCTCCAACTCCCTGGAGTCTCCATTCTAATAGCTTCATGCATTGTTCTCTTTACTGACTTTGTGAAGTATGATTTAAAAATACAGTGAATGCTGCTACTGAACATCATCCAACAGAAAGGCAGGTTCATAAAAACATTACAGTGTACCCTCGTCTACTATATTCACCAGATCTGTCGCTGTGTGACTTCTGACTCTTCCCCAAAATCAAAATGTCCATGAAAGGTAAACATTTTGAATCAATTCATCAAGGCAGCCACGACAGTGCAACTAAAGACACAAAAGATGACTTCATTAAGTGGCAAAAATGATAGGATAACTGTGTTAAAGTGAGAAGTATTTTGATGATTAATGGCAATATGTCTTTTACTGTGATGCTTTAAAATAAAACATTCATTTTTTTTTCTTTTTGATCATACCTTGTATCTTTCAGGCCGTGCTTTGCTCTGAATGATTTCATCTGATAAAGCAGCAACCTGCTCCATTGTGAGGGGAGCCTCCAAATGCTGAGGCAGAATGACTTAGTACCTCATCAGTGGAAACAGGTAACACTCAGATGTTTCATACACCAAACTTAATAATAAAAACAACTTCAAGCTGCACGGCACAGTTGTAAAGCCTACACTGATAAATAAATTAATCTCACTGAAAAAAAAAAACTGCCATTTCTCAACTTACCAAATTAAATTGGGGACACATGGACACCTGATTTATCTATATTATATTAAAAAACAAAACAAAACACACAGGCCCATGAGCTTATCAGACACACCAGACCAAAAAACAATGAAACTTCCCCACCTGGATCATATGAAAAGGGGGATTGGTGTGTAGTGATGTCACACTCAACCGATCACCTGGTGAGTGCATCACAAGGTTGACAGACTATTAGCTCCAGTTCTCTGTTTCCCATCTTTAGCTCATCTTGATTTGCCCACTTCACATGGCTCACTCTGTTTGCTTTCCTGACTCAGGCTTTCACAATTTCTGCATTCGAGACAAACCCAGAACCTTCTTGGAGAAGCTCTGCCTGGTCTGTAATCTTATCAGCCACCAGTGATGACTTCCCACATCTCGGAAGACTCTGCCTTGGTTTTCAGTTCTTCATTTTAGAATCTCAAAAGACAGTGTTAATCATTTCTTAGACCTGTAAATTTTTGTGTGAAGTGTGATGTGTGACTTAAAGGTAGTATATAGTAGAAATTAAACTTGAATTTTAAGAAAAACCTTTGCCTGCCTGGCTTATTTCGCTACAAATTGACCAACAGGACTTTTGCCATTGGCTAAACATTGGGCTGCTTGAAATTTCCTTTGCTGCATTAATTAGTCAACCACCTTTAAATTCAGCCTCCCACAAGTCTTAGGACGTGGGCAAAATGGAGACAAACTCTTTCCCAGAATGTAACACACATATGGACCTTAGTCAATTCACCAATAGATTCCTCATTCCCAGCTGAACCCCCTTGAGGCTGGCCTTTACTGTCTACGTTCCAATCAGCATTCCGTTCTTCTGAGCTATAACCAATATTGCCCATCAAGCTCTGTTTACAATATTCTAGGGCTTCTCCAGCTGTATCTCCAAACTTTTCTAAACTCCTCCCACAGATTAGTTCAAAGGCTTCTGAACCACGTGGTCAGGTACAGCAATGAACCACTCTTGGTACTAATTTTCTGCATTAGTCCCTTTCCTGTCACTCGGACAAAATACCCAACATGCATGATTTAAGGAGGAGAAATACTTATGTGGCTCACAGAAGGTTCAGTCTATGTTTGGCTGGAATAAGACAAAGATATCATGGCAGGAGGGTACGGCAGAGGAAAGCTGCTCAAACCACAGCAGCTAGGAAGCAGATAATAAAGAGAAGTGGCAGGGACAAGAATACACTTCCAGGTCATGCCCACTGTGACCTACCTCTTCGATCAGGCCCCGTCTATTAACAGCACATTCAGCTATGAACTTGTCAATGGATTAATCTACTGATTAGTGTAATACCCCAATGATTCGATCATCTTTCAAAAACCTCCCTTTTGAACACATGAGAATTTGGGGGGACTTTTTGTTCTAAACTATAATAATGGGTATGAGTTTCCTTTCAACTGTGTGGAAGACCTCTTAGAATTAGACAGAAGTAATAATTTCACAATCTTGTGAATGTACTTATGCCCCTGAGTTGTACACTCAATATGGTTAGACTAATTTCTTGGTATATAAATATTACTTCAATTTTAAAATACATTGTATTTATATCTGTGTTTACTTCCTATTATTACACAACCAATCACCACAAATTTAGTATCTTAAGAAAATTATAACAGTTTAGCTCACAGTTCTGTAGCTCAGAAGTTCAGGTGTGCTTGGATGGGTTCTCCGCTTTGGGTTTCACAAATCAAAACAAAGATGTTTACATAGCTGAACTCTTCTTTGGAAGCTGAGGAAGAATCCATTTCCAAGCTCATCACCGGTTTTAGCAGAATTCATTTCTCTCTAACTTAGGTCTAGGATCCCACCTTCTTTGCTGTCGGCCAGGAGTTAGTCTCAGGTTGCATGCATTCCTTGGCATACAGTCCCCTCCAGGATGGCACATCAAATCTTTTTCATCTTTTAAATCTGACTTCCTCTTCTAGTACATGAGGAGAAAATTGTTTTTAAAAAAGGCTCGCGTGATTAGACTGAGCCCAGCTAGATAACCCCACTTTTACCATAAAATTTTACATAGTCACATTTGATGAATATGATCTCACTAAATTTACAAGTTCCACCCCGCAGTCAAATGGATAGAGGTTATAAAAGGGCAAGGGTCATTTTGGGTCCTTAGAATTCTGCCCGTCATGACCTCTTCAACAGAAATAGTTAAGTAAGCATTTTCTACCCAATTCAAGAACAACTATCATGTGTTTATACTCAGCCTCACTGCAAAGCGGATTTGAAGTGATTGATACCAAAGAAAAGTTACAGAATCGGTGATTTATGGATTAATACAATTCAAGTCTCCAACTCTTAGGGAAAGAAAGGTTGGAAAGCTGCTTTTAATAAGAAAGCCTTTTTCTCTTGCTGAGCTTCCTGGCTTTTTCTTCTCTTCTACTAAAGTAGTGAATACAAATGCAAAGCAATTGTCTAGAGGACCACTGGCACTCTTTCTGTGGTCATGATTAAGACACAGATACTATTATGCTTGTTGGGAGTTTAGGGAACTAGATACTTGCATGATATAGATCTGAAATTCTCAACCTTTTTGGTCTCGAGATTCTTGTTATTGAGGCCCCTAAAGACCTTTGGTTGTGGTGGGTTACACTTATTGATATTTATCACATGATAAATTAAACCTGGAACATTTTTAGAGCGTAAGAGCACACAAGCATACATTCTCTTAGCCTATAGAGTGATGTCGTCCAACGTTATGTACCTCTGGGTATAAAAGGAAATAAAGCTAGTATGATTAGGAAAATAGTTTTGAACCTTGTGGAAACTGAAAAGATTCCAAGGACCTCCATGGCTTCCTGGACCACTCTTTGACAAGACAGCAAGAGCCATAAATACCCCAAATTGTATTTCTTCACAGACTGATCAACTCATGTATTTTGGTGCATGCACTCATGTAGTCTTAGAGACATACTTTGCCTTTGTTAGTATCTTGTTCCATCTGCAAATTCATTTTTGTTGATGATGCTTGCAAAAAGTCTGATTTCCTCTCACAGGTTCAGAATTGAGGTAGGCAGATCAAAACATACAGGGGAAACTGCTTTAAATGGTGAAGCTTTGTCTGCAGTGGATTAGGACAGAGTCAGGCTGAGTCTAGCAAAGAGGCACAGAGAGAGAAGGAAAAGCACTAGGGATTCTTGTCACTCACTGACCTTGCAAACCACACCAAGATTTTTGTTTGTTTGTTTCGTTTTTAAATGAAGCAACTGATCAAACGATTGCTTAATGACTCAGGATTTTGCACTTTCCTTCTCATCTATAGGCCATACTGTACAATTAGGTGCTTCATTGTTCTTTATGTCCTGCTCGCAAAAAATGTCACGAAATAAAGCTAAAACCCTTTCCAGGGGAACTTCACGGTCCTCGTGCTTAGTGACTAGCTAGTCCACTCTTCTCCCAACATGTGTTCTACTTTCTTTCTATGCTGTCTCTATGTCAACGCCCCGAGTGCTGAGATCCTGGGTCTCCCGTGTCTTTCTAGGGCAGATAAATAGAGTTTAAAACCTGAAAGCTGAGGAAGATTTAGCATTCTTCTCCGAGCCAAGGTTAAATCGTCGCCTGGCTTTGGTCACTGCGACTCTCAGAGAGGAGGGTGGTGACTGTGACTGAAGGGTGACCGTGGGGCAAACTCATCTGAGGTGGAGCTGGAGGTCGCGTCCCACACCAGGGTGACCAGCCGAAAGCTTCCCGGACCAGCGAGAGTCGCCAGACTAGCCGCAGCACCCCGCCTCCGACTCGACGTCAGCCGCCTGGAGCGCCGCCGAGGCCGCTGGCCCGCCCCT